TTTGAAAACGCTACTAATATGAGAGAGATATCACATCACCTCCCCCCCCCCCCACATACACACAAACAAACAGTCACGCCCCCCCCCCCAACACACGCACACTCACCTTCTCCCCCACTCACATACACATACATAAAGTAACTCAATGAAATTCAATATATTGACCTTAGAGACAGATTGGACAAGGGCAAAAAATCTCGAAGGGCCTATCTGCAAGTTGCGCACGTTAAAGATCCCTTGGTGCTCTAAAATCGATAAGAGTAGGCTTCGCGGCCGCCACCCGGGCAAAATTCAAACTTTCCTACCAACTGAAACAGTGTCCTGCGCGCTCATATGACCTTACGCAGTTGCGAGCGCCATAAAACACTTAACCCCCCCCCCCCAGAAAAAAGAAAAAAAAAAGAGACAGATTCCGGAAATGCGATTTTCCCACACGGATGGCTCCATCTTTTTGACTCGCCCGCTCCTATATCTTCTTTGATTTTCTTCAAGTCAGCTTGCAATCTAGCTTACAATATACCCACAATTTACCCACAATTTACGCCCCCCCCCCACCCCCACAAATAAATCGTCGTCACTTCGGAGACTCCTGGGTTCCATGGCCGCGACTGTCTAGCGCATTAACTGGGTATCAAATAGGCTGACATAGCGTAACCATGGAAACTGCGTCTTTTACAGCACTTCTATTGCGAAATAAGGACATATAGTTGTCTCCTCTTGTGGTCACAAACGTGAGTAGAAAACGCAGGTCAAGATACACTGAGTGATAGTGAGGTTCTTCTTTCGGAAAGGAAACAAGAAAATAGTGGTGAGCAAAACAAAACAAAAATAACAGCCCCAAAAAACAAAATCCAACACAACACCCCCTCCCTCCCCAGAAATCCCATGATATTTGTCGACTGAGTTAGCGAGTACCTTGAGACAGATAGGGTATTCTCAGAAATTAAAGCTAAGTATCGGTGATCTAGACTAAGGACACACCCACTCCATCAAGTCCAAGTACCAAAAAATCAATTACATTTATAATGTTCTTCGGGGTTTTTCCTCTTCCTTCTTTCCTATCTATAGTATATCATGGATCACATCAGTGCTGGCTTAGCTGTGATGATTATCTTTAACCCTTTCGCCCTATTTGCCTCAAGGATATATCGTTTCCCTTTTATACACCATTATACAGAGACAAAATTATTATATTATATACAGACACAAACACACATACACACACACCCACACACACATTAGATAGATAGATAAATAGATGGATAGATGAGATAGATAGATAGATAGATAGATAGACAGATAGATAGATAGATAGATAGATAGATAGATGGATAGATATTATATAGATATATAGATGTAATAATATTTATACATTATACTGCAGTATAGATGAAGCACTGACAAATTCCGCAGATCTGTTTATAACGATAAAAGAGACTGGAATAATATTACTACGTAAATGTGGACCGCTGAGAAATCAATAACAGTACTGTACATCTCTGAGCAACAAAGGAAAAAGAAAGGACGTACAAAAAAAGTGTAGGCGCAAATGATCTCAGATTATGACTGTACTGCGATTTCTTTCGACGGTCAGCCTCCCTTTGACTCGGGCACTTAAATATCTTCCCTTTTTTCCCTGGAGGTCGGGCCGACAACCAGTAGAATCTAATCTTTAGCTTTAGTAAGTTTTACTGCACTTGCAACACAATAAGGTCATAATATAAGTGCCGAAGAATAGATGTTACAAGAGAGTAACGTACACAAAAAAAGAAGGAGGGGAGATAAAGACGATAGTCGTTTGATAAGAAAGAAGAAGCAAACCACACCAGAGCACCCACCAACCACCCACTACCAGTAATCTACCCACAATTCTACACCCAAAACGTCACCGCTTCGGGGAGTACTGGGTTCTTCTATGGCCGTGAAAGTCTACAGCATCGTCTGGGTATCAATAGGCAAACAAGGCGTAACCACGGCAACGAGGAGTTTTAGAGTAGGTCTATGGCCAAGCAAGGATATTTAGTCGTCTGCTGCCTTCGACACAGACGCCAACACAACGCCCAGTCTAAGTCACGCTAAAATTGAGCCCTTCTCTCTACGAAATAAAAACAAAATATATAAAACAGCCCGCCCCCCCAAAAATAAACAAAACAACAACAACAAAAACAAACACCAAACAAATACAAACACGCAACAAAACAACTCAACAACAACACCCATCCCCCCCCCTCCCCCCACACAC